CACTTAGATACGACGCGCTACTCATAAGGTCGCTTAAAACTTTTCGACAGTCTATGACCGACTTGGTCCTTCCCGGAACTGATCATGTCGGCGCAATTTCACAGCATCCGTCAACCTTATGTTCTTCTCGAACTCAAAGTGAACGGGATACGCAGAAGGTACTTATCCGCACAATAAGTTGCAGTGGCTGGCTCAAGTGAGACTGATTTGATGAGCTCCAAGAAGGGGGAAACGAGACGTGGGCTGTCCAACACTTATCAGCAACCTTGTGAGTAGCATGTTCCTTCCAAGCAGAAGTATCGGTTTCAAAACCCAGTGATTCATTTTGGAATGATAGAGTCTATCTGTTATTCTAATGGTGATCACTGGAGAGTGTAAACTAAGTTAATATATTAAAAAAACCGACGTTGACGGTCTCTGGTCCGTTTCAGATCCCGCTTGTCCGGCTCGCTACTGCTTAGCGTCAAAGCTGAGAATACTTTCTTCTTTTCTCGCAAATAGAAGCTGTCGAATAAGATTCGATGGAGCTTGAACAAAGAAACAACGTTCAGAGCCCATGGATTGATTTACTGAAGTACGCTTTGACGCTAAGCAGTAGCGAGCCGGACAAGCGGGATCTGAAACGGACCAGAGACCGTCAACGTCGGTTTTTTTAATATATTAGCTTAGTTTACACTCTCCAGTGATCACCATTAGAATGACAGATAGACTCTATCATTCCAAAATGAATCACTGGGTTTTGAAACCGATACTTCTGCTTGGAAGGAACATGCTACTCACAAGGTTGCTGATAAGTGTTGGACAGCCCACGTCTCGTTTCCCCCTTCTTGATGCTCATCAAATCAGTCTCACTTGAGCCAGCCGCTGCAACTTATTGTGCGGATAAGTACCTTCCGCGTATCCCGTTCACTTTGAGTTCGGGAAGAACATAATTTTGACGGATGCTGTGAAATTGCGCCGACTTGATCAGTTCGGGGAAGGACCAAGTCGGTCATAGACTGTCGAAAAGTTTTAAGCGACCTTATGAGTAGCGCGTCGTATCTAAGTGTACTGCGGTATTTCGAATGTCAGTGTGCAAATGAGGGCTTTTCGCGTAACTAAACTTCTGATCTTTATATAAAAACCGGCCGATTTTTATGTAACATATCTATCGTGCAACATATCGGCTAACTGATCAAGGTAAATTGGGCCAAGGACGGATGAAATTTTACAAAAATTTGTACTTGCGCATGGCTACCAGACTTCGAGTGTCTTAAGTATGCTAAAAAAACAAGGTATTTGTTGTCAGATCACCTTTCCAAAATGAAGGCACCCATAGAAGTCAGGTTCAAGGTGACAATTTGAAGCCATTTGATGAGTCAAATGAAGCGATGAAGCGATCCGAGTTCTCTTCACTCTTCCAGGTACACAAGTTGATGAAAGTAACGGGGAGCAATTGTTCAATCCACTGCAGTCGGGCTACAAATTTACGGTTTTATTTTAGACCAAGCAAACGATGGACGCATGCCGGTTAACAACCTGAAAGCCTTCAGTTATCGTATCAAGAATAGATGTCTCGGGCTGTTAGCTCGCGTAGTGATTGATGTGCGTCGTGAAGTATCTCATTGCTTCAGCGATAAATGTGGCTTGTGATTCCGCTCCACGCATTACGTCCTCTACCCAACTTGACTCTATGTTGGATGATTCGCCAACTAACTTGTTTGTTCTGTCTGTGTTCTTATCTATCTTCACCGGCACAGCCACCGAACCCGCCACTCATGTTGCCAGGATGGCCAGCCCATGAAACAATGGTGTGCTGACGAGTGCGGGCTCGCGCGTCACTTAGCTGTCCGCGTTCGTGATCCGTCTGTTGGGCCTAGTCTTGGGCTGTGTGATTGCACCCCCTAGTCGGAATCACAGGCCTAGTCTCAGAAAGGGCCACAGAAACCCACGCCACTGAGTCAACGGCCGCTTGACTGTTGTGTGGGCCGCGATATTGCACTTTGCCGATTCGTGACAGGCAGACCATACCATAGACTTCAGAGTCCGATTCTTCCTTTTTTTCCTATTTGGGATCGTCAAACCTGCGCAAGACCCAAAGCTCAGTATCAGGAACCTCAACATTATGCTATTGGACAGTGCTTCCAGCCCGATCGAGCTGCAGCGGTGAGTAGTATCAACACGATTATTCCGTGAACTGAAACCCTAGCGGACTGTAGTCAGAACACTTTTCAGACAACGCGAAAGCACCAGGCTTTCATTCCGATTCGGGCTTACGGCATTGTCACCAACCTCGATACAGTTCTCACACGATGATCCTCTCCATTTCCTCAACCCATAATGGAGGTGTCCTTTCTTGAACGAGCAGCATTTTTCGGCCCCACACATAATCTCCGAATGAACCCCCAACGGGGATATTGCTTTCAGAAATCATATATACGCGTGCAATCTGCCATGGCGATTGATTCCTGTTTGGCTATAGTACATTAGAGTTTCGAAAAATCAAGTTCAGTTCCACCGGTTTCCCCCGGATTTTGGGTTCCTGCTCTTGTTCAGAGGTACTCCCAGGACTCGGCACGAAGTCCACTGTGGTCCAGTTTGAAAACCCTACTATGCATTTTGTCGGCATGACTTGAAGGGTTACCCCACTGCTGTTGGGTCGCTGTTGGCCAAATGGATGCGATAAATCTGCCAAAACCGGTTAATCAAAGGGGTTCATCTTGCTACTCTATTGCGAGTTGTATTCTTTATGTAAGCTATATATGTAAGCTAACTACGTGTGGAAGATGGTGCAGCATCTGCTTCAAATTCTAAATTAACTCGATCCCTACTAACAGAACTAAGAAGAGGACCAAATGAAACACAAACAAATACAACATAATTCTTATAACATCAAGTGTTTGACTTAGAGGTCTTTTGAGCACCACACGAAACTGAAGATTTTGTCGACCCCCAATATAGACCTCTTTCCCAGAAGGAACCACTTTCATGAGATCCTGCGCGTGATCCGCCTTGCGATAGGATCTCTCTGATCAACTGCTAACGGTGTTGATTGCGACGGCCGTGCCATAGTACACTAATAAACGGTACAGCAGTATACCATACTGTATTACACTATGAGGCACTGCAATGTATTACATTATGCCGCAATTCACTACATCATATGGTTCCTCATTATACCATTCTATACTACACTACACTAAACTATACTCTAACCTTACTATACTGCACTACATCATGTTATACTACATACTATACTATACTATACTATGCTGATATATTGTAGTAAACTTTGCCACACGATGTTGTAATCTACGACAGCATACCGATCTGTTCTACATTATTTCGTACTATAATGTAAAATGTACTCATATTACCGGGGTATTTTCATACTTTGAAAGTGATGAGGTAAAGGAGTAAAGTAAAGGAGTAAAAGAAGTAAAGGAGTCCTACTCATCACCTTTGATTCAGACTCCTACGTGCACACAGTTCAAACTAGCCAATCACTTTTATGGGCATTCAATCCTAGACTAAAAGGAAAGTATTGCCTAGGGTGAAAGAGCAATTGGTCATCGAAACCAGATCAATCAAGTGAGGGGTATGATTGGACGCAGAGATTTCGTGTTGTTGGCCGATTGTTCTTGCCTAAACAAGCAAATACCAACTGTTTTGGGATGCATAGTCCTGCAAAAAACTATTCTTCTATCGTGTTTTTTCCAGCATCCAGACTTTACAACACCTTCACACAGGATTCGTGTGCCGCTACTCTTGGGGAGCCTCCTCTGGACAAAAGTACGTGGGCCATAAAATCCTGAAGAAACTAAACAGTAGTTCGCCAGCGAGCATCTAATTTAGTATACAACCAAAAAGCTGATTTGAAGGAAATCAAATATCAAATGTGTTGATTGCACATTTTCCAAAAGCAGCTGTTGTTTTATACGGCGCTCAGGTCTTCCCCAAACCAAACTCACCGCCTTCCCACCTTGATTCATCAACTTTGGTCCGAGAGAAACTTTACTCCCCCCGGTACTTCCACTCATTGTTTCGGTTGATTCAACAGTCAGCTAGGGTTCTTCCTTCGAGGTGACAAGAAATGGACCCACCAAAAAAATACCGCACCATCTGTGTGAGACACCGTACGGACTAACTAGATATATGCCACACAGAGCGTTTGACCCTTGAGTGCTGTGCTGTGTCTGTTGGTTGGCTTGTATGTACGATAGTGAATTTGATTAGTAGCCTGATTTGGTTCATCAGGTAGCGGTGCACAGGTTGGGAGAGATTATTGTTAGCTCGAAGCGAGTATATGCAAATTAGGCACATGGAGCCACATGGATCGAATTACAAGTGTGTGTGTGTGGGTGTGGATCGGTGTCATGCATTGCGCATACGCATTTGACGCCTACCTTACTCGTCCTGAAACGAGTGATTCACATTCGTGTTTTGGACTGACCTTGCCAAGATTAGGTAATCGGTGTATCTCCTAACTACTGTTACAACTCAGCTTTGGCGTCCACATGTGCCTGGTCGCATTCCAAAATTTGATATTGTGTTAGTTGGATCATCAGTCTGCTATATATCTCGAGTTATCCTGATATTTTATCGATTGCCGGGATAAGTTGTGACTCAACGTACCGGTAAATTGTTGAGTCCTACAACTGAAAGGGCCTCCAGACTTCTTGGCGGCCATTGTTGGTCAGCGCCATTTTGGCGTCCTCCACGGGCTCCTGTCTTAAGGAAATTCTTAGTGGTATGTGACTGTCATTGTTTATGACTGAGGGAGGTGATAAACACCAACCGTGCGTGCAATTCGGCTAATGCCTACACCTGTGTACAATTTTGGTTTTGATGGCAGACTCATCTTCATGGTGATATATCAATATCCAATCAAATGAAAAATTTGACGACCTGGTGCAGCTTCAGAATCTCGTAAGCGAGAAACTTAACTGGATTCTAGGTGAGTCTTGTCCTCTCCCATCAAAACGAACTTGGAATGCATTTAGTGTACTATCACAATCCCAGTCAGGTTAGATGTGAAATGATGCACTGTTCACTGTATCCATGTGTTTTTTACTGCGTCCAATGCCTGCAACTGACATCAGTCTACCCTGAAAGCGCTGCCGTGCAATTCGGCTAATGCCTACACCTGTGTACAATTTTGGTTTTGATGGCAGACTCATCTTCATGGTGATATATCAATATCCAATCAAATGAAAAATTTGACGACCTGGTGCAGCTTCAGAATCTCGTAAGCGAGAAACTTAACTGGATTCTAGGTGAGTCTTGTCCTCTCCCATCAAAACGAACTTGGAATGCATTTAGTGTACTCCGCTAATTTCGTGCAATTCGAGTTCAAATAGAACATAACATAAGGTTGACGTGAAAGGGAATCGGGAATGTTGTCCACCTGAAGAGTGCCAAGGAGGGTGAAACCGGTGGTGATTTGCCGGTGAGTTTTCATCAGCAACCTTAAGAGTAGTGCTGTACGTCTATAAAATATATCGCAATATCTCGAATATTGTACCAACTGAAAAGTAAGACGGTCATCTAGTGCAGCACATTTAATTGAGTTGGAACATCAAAAACGAGAGATCCAGTTTGGTTTCAGGTGAGTCTTCTGTCGAAACCGCATTGTTATGCAAATAAGTGTATGGGGCCGTTTGAATTCCCAACCTTTTGGTTATTGCTTGAACACTATGCTATTTGGCCCCAGTACCTGATCGGCGGTTACTCAGGTGGCCAGTCTACA